AGACGCACGGAGAGACAAACACAGAGAGTTTTGTTCAGGCAGCGTGGCCAGTCAGGGGACGCTGCGGGTCTTGTGACACCCATTAGGGAGAGGGTCACTGTGGGGGAGATGGGGACAAAAGAGATGCACACTGTGTTAGCTGGAGAGGATGCAAAGTGGAGGAGTGTGTGTGTGTGTCTGACATTCAGCGCTTGAACATGAGCTCCAAGTGTTTCACACATTACGCCTCTTCACTATTCAAGAAGGGCGCTGACGAATGTACGTACGAGCCTGCATGTAAACTCGGAGAGTGAATAATTGAAAAAGAGCGTGAGTGGGACACAATACAGGACCCTGGCCCCTGTTGCAGCATGGGGGACACATTCAACCACCCGGATTCTGACCTAAAAGCTACACAGCCAATCAGCACCCAGGCGGGTAGGCAAGGCCTCCACTGCTACAAGGTCCAGTAATAGCATCTAATTCACCATTCTGCAATTAACCAGTCATTACTAGAGAAATGGAGAAAAGGGGGATTTAGTCCTATATATTAAATGATAATCTAAATTATTTTTAATAGATTCAATAATCAGGATTTTAAGTTCAAAATCTGCTTGTTTTTATTACATCTACATTACATATTTTTTTCTGTAGACAAAACAATCAATGTGCAAATAATTATTAATAACAACTGAATAATTCAGTATCCTATACAATAATCCCGACTCTAAAGCAAGCTGTGGTAAAAGGCCTGGCTCTTTTACAGGACAATAAGTCTGGATACCCTACATGCAGTACCACAGGGGTCGATCTGGGCTCAAGCGAAGTCACAGATCTCCCAGCCCCCGTGCGCTGAGCTGATGCACACACAGCAACCAGGAGCCTCTTTGGCTTGTTTGAAGTCTGCATAAAAAGATTGCAGCACCAGCCTGTTTTATAAAATCCACAATCTCCCATTTCTTACATTTTTGAGCAAACATTCAAAGCACCTTGTTGCTTTAATCACCGACAACCACTGCCTTGAGGTAAGCGCCAGTCTCGCCCAGCACCATATGGCGCTGGTAGGCATTTAACAGATTGCACAAGAGGTTCCGCTCCCTGTTCAGCGGCAGCTCCCACCCTGTGCGCCTGTCAGGCGTAGCTCGCCCCCCGAGGACAGCCCGTCTTGTCCTGAGGGCAGGGGTGAGGCTGCCCCTAAGGCTGGGGGAGAAAAAACAAAGGAAGGAGATGGAGGTTGGGAAAGGAGGAGCTGCTGAGCTTTAGCGCCATAGTACGAGCTGCTCTTGGATTAGCTCATTTGTCTTCATTTTTGAAAGCATCCAATGACATCATCTACTAGAAAACAAATAAGGGTACTTAAAAAAAAAAAATCATCCTTTTATTTGGTGCTTATGCCTTGGTGAGTATTCACCCACATTACCTTGCTGCTGATTGTCAGTGAGTGCTGGCACCACACCAAAGAGACACCACCGCATCCAGTCAGTTCAACCATAGACGTGACAGTATGAAAATACTGGTGGGCACAGCCTTGGCACGCCCCACGGATGCATAGCAGGCAGGGAGGCAGGTCAGTGGGGGCTCTGTTGCCTCAGGCCTGACTATATATGGCCATTCTGTAGAGCAGAGGGAATCTTCCCTGCATACCATGCACAATTTGAGGAATTATGTCTTCTTCTGTGTTATCATTACTCTCTCTTTTTTTTAATCCGTACATCCAGTGTGAGGCACCTGAGATGGGTCTACTGAGCCAGCTGGTCCAGGGCCAACTGATAAAGAGTGTGGGAGGGGGAGAAGCTCAGAGAGAATCTCTTTGTGCAGTGCTTTCTAAGAGCGTGGATCCAAATGCATTATTTTAAAACAACTTAAGACTTATATGGTCTTATACAGTGTGTCAGCTCCACCAATGACATAGCTCAGATTTTTCCGCACCATTTTAAACTTAAGTGATGAATATGGCCACAGATTTAATATGAGATTATTGCTCTTGCAGCTACGGAGCAAGCAATAGCTTTTTACTGGTAAAAAAAAAAAATCAAAATAATGCGGTAATGTTGCAATAAATTTTCTTTATGGCCTACAAGTCTATGACACCAGCACTTTTCAATCTGATTAATCACCTTAGTGATAACATGATACACAAGTGAGTTCAATCTGCTTATAGATCCGGGCTTCCATTCCTTTCAACCAGCTGGCTGAAGCAAAAATCAAGTGATTTAAAAAGGGGCTTTTTAGCTATAACGAAATTTTCATTATGGCCGTCAGTCAAATTCTGCTGTGCTGTGTTTTCAGAAGTTGACTGTAATCTGGCGCCCCTCCAGGGGCAACGGCTGCCCGCTTGGCACAGAGTCCAGCGAGAGAGCCAGCAGCACAGCATGGCCACAAGAACCTTGACATGGCATTTCAGGTCTTAGAGAGCAGCTCCGTTCTTTAATTTTCTGGGATAAAATGTAAAGCTGGAAGTAGAACAACATTGCAGGGATACATAAATAGATTTTTGTGGGATTTTAGCCTTGGCCAGCATTAATAGGTCTTTATCGCAGTAGGTATTGTCTGACTTTTTTCAATACTATTGCCAAAATGAAAAAGATGAGTCTCGGTATCAACACCAAAACAACACATTTTGTTTCTAGAAATAGACGTCAAGTTTTACATCTAACAAATGTTAAATGTTTAAACAAAAGCAGCAGTTTGTCTAATAAAATACAGTCTACAATTGCCAAGATAATGATTTAAATCAGGAACTATCTGATCAAAGTGTAAGTGAACAAGGCTACAAATCTGACCAGACATTCAAGCCAGCTGTCAGAGCTTGACGGGTCCAAGAGGCAGGGGAATTTATCATTTCACTACCTCGAGTGTAGATGCTGTTTTTAAACACAAGTATCTCCTTTTGCGCCAGAATGTCCTCAAAAACAATTGTGAGTATCAATAAATAATCTCCAGATTATAGTGGGATCTTTATGGATGAGTTATAAGACAGTGACTGATGATTACATTATGAATCAGCTTATTGTAAGGCTGTCAAAAGCAAAATATAAATGCAAAAACTGCACTTGACTCTTATTGTGAAATCTAACTTTTAATTCAACACAAGACCAGACCTTCAGATTTCTACAGCCTGCCTTAAATAACAGACAAAATAAAATGCCTCCAAGGAATCAAAAGTCACCACAAATCAAAGAGGAAAGAATCTTGGTCACATTGTGTTATCTAAAAGGGGCCTTGTAAACTGTGACCAAGTGCTTGACAAAGCAGAAAAAGCCTCAGAGGGAGAAGGAACTCCACCCCGTTTTCAATTGGGGGGGCTGTTGTGATTATTCAGTCGGTTGGCGTTTGAAATCCTGCAGACAAACACCTCCTTTCTGTGGATCTGACTGACTGAGTTGACTGAGAGACACCGCCCCCCCCCCCAAAAAAAAAAAAAAAAGAGTGAGGAGACAAACTCAGCTTTGTGAGTGTGCTGGGCAGGTTCTGTCTGGAAGTGGACAGCTGCTCTTCTACCAGTTGCAGCCACCCTCGACCACCTCCCCCCCTCACCCTCCCTCTACCACCACACACCACCACCCTACTGCACATGCTCACAGGCCACATGCTCATTTGACTTGTTAACATGACAGGCAATTTACTGATCGACAGCTGATCGACAGGAGGCCATTGCAGCAAGCTTCAGTATGAGGGTACAGTGAGCAATGACTTCACTACAGACAGTTTGGCTTATCTCGTGCAGGCTGTTAGGACCATGTCTTTGTGTCAACTGCAGGCTAATCTGACAGCCCTCTCTTGTACAAGCTCCATTCCCACACAGCAGCATTCGCAAATAGAATTAACATTGGACAGTGAATGGAGCGAGAGATTAAAGGGACAAAAAGAGGGAGAAGCAGTAATTCTCCGTCCCATACGCCCGGCTCAAAACCATCTGGTGGGAAGATAGCACGCAAGCATCACACTTCCTAGTGACAATCATCCGCTCATCCTCTCTACATTGCACAGGGCTGATTTCAGGTGTGGTGAATCCGATGAGCGCATGCATGCAGATGGGTTGGTGCGGTTCGCAGTGTGAGCAGAGGCGGGGGCAGATTCTGGGAGTTCAGTGCGCTGGGAGATTGAATGCAGGTCACTGGAGCACTGTGGGCTGTTAGAATTAAATACTCAGCTTAGCTTTCTGCTTAGTGCACAAGCAAATTGATGTTTTTTTGGCTAGCCTGCTGGTACTAGCCTATTAACAGTCTGTGCCGTGCTTAACAAATCTTAGCACATCGTATATATAGAAGTGAGCAACAAAATGGACGAGCTAGCTGCAACAATAACAACAAAACAAGGCCCATTACATTAGCTGAGGACAAATGACTCTCCAAATCCAAAGCCAACCCTCCACCAAACACGACGGCCACATCTTTGACTTCAGCACGAGCGCTCGCTGTCTCTCTCCCTCCTTGGCAATGTCTTTCAACAGCCGCAATGTTAATTTTCAACAGAGAAATGTGACACCAAGAGCAGATGGCCCAGAGAGTGGGATTCCCATCCACTGAAGTGGAAAAGTCCTGATTTAAACAGGATATGAATTTTGGTTTTGTTTAAAAAGATAAAATAAAATAAAGATGAAGGAGCTGCAGACAGATACAGAAATGTGAGGTCAGCAGGATCAGTCTGGTGACAGATATCGTTTCTTCATCCTTGTCTCCTCACCCACTTTTCAGCAAGACAGGTGATGTAAGATTGGTGATGCATCAGACTGTAGACTGTCTGATTCACTCTTTACACACACTCCCAGCTGCACAATTTACAGGCTCTGATCAGACTTGTATACCAAAAACAAACTACTCTTAGCAGAAAGTCTAATATTACATCTGTTTCTTTCAACCATCAGTGGTGTGGTCTGGTAGCATCATCTGCATCTGAGCAATGTTTTTTAATGTCAGATCCTTTGTTCCCAGACTGGATAAGAATAAAAAAAAAACATTGGCTATGCTGAGCCTCCACTGTGAAAACAGGACAGGCCATGCACTGCGCCTCCAACCAACCTTGTATACTTGTCCATAGGTGCCATTTCCAACTACCTCCACCAATTCAAATATCCCAGCTGGATCCTGAAAAGAAAAAGGGGAGAAATGCGTTTCAGGTTAAATAAAAATCGATGTTAATGTATTTAATTCATGAACAACATTGTGCACTGTGAGCCAGCTGTTGCGCCCTGGTCTACCCTACATGCCAAATGCATCTCGAACAAAGGAAAACCAGACACTGGCAACACCTCGCTATGGCTCAGCGGTCATTTTCAATACTTCAGCTCTAACAAGAAGGGACATTGGAGGACAGGTTAGAACTTGCTCATATAAGCCACACTGAGGGACATGTGTTTTATCGAGCAACGTGAAATAAAAGGGAGCAAAACAACAAAAAAATAACACACATAGGCTCGGTTCGGCAGCACTCACCCGCAATGAAGCCAAGTCTATGTCTACTAGACTTTTAGCTGGAGAGTCGTTCGCCATCTTTCAAATAAAAGCCGAGCTTTCCTTTGTGATATCTAAAAATATTTGCTGCTGTATCATTTGCGGGCTCGTCGGCGGATAAACTAGACAGAGGCCGTCGCGTATTCCTCTTTGTGGGATCCGCTTCTTAGCAGTAAATGCAGGGGTCTCGCTACTCCATGTTGAGGTGGCAGCAGCGGGCTCCCTGTCCGCTCTCTCCCTGCTCGTGCCACTGGTGTCAAGCTAGCCCGGAAAGCTAAACTTCCGCTACAGGCTTTCAGAATAAAAGCACCACTTTTATTGTTTCCAAGCAACTGGGATATAGGATTACACTGAATATGAATTAAATGTTAATCTAAATAATATAATAATTGTTTTTGCTTGTTTGTTTGCTTTTTTCATGACCATGTGTATTAGTATTCAAATCTTAAATATAGGAAGAAGTAGCAATACCACTGTGTAAAAACACTCAAGTAAAAGTTCCTTTCAACATTTTATTTAAAGAAATGGACTACAAGCAAAAAATACTTAAAGATCAAAAGTAAAAATGCTCACTGTGCAGAGCTGTGTTGGAGTGTTATACTATAGTACTAGATTATAGTTAATGATGCAAGACTGTGTAAGCATCACTTTAATGCTGTAGCTGCTAAAGGTAGGGTTAATTTGAACTACTTTTAATCTTTAGCCATATATCATTATTCATTTGCTGATTATAGTTAGTATAACAAATCTGTTTCTGTAGCCTACATCAATTAGTAAGCAAAGCTCTCGAGCTGATTTTTTGAGCAAGAACACAAGAATACATTGAAAAACACCAAATACAATTTTGACATAGTTTTTAAAAGCCCATGCAATTCATATCAAGCTGCTTTCCTGGTAGGAATTTTATCATGAAGTTACCTAGCTGTTCTGTTACTTTGTGCAAGTCTAATTTTCTCTTATGTTGATGATAAAATTGGATGATTTCCGTTTTCATCCTGCCTGCTTCTGTCTAACTTGACGCAGCTTTGATTGAGAACCGCACAAACACAGGAAGCCGGTCGGCTTCACACAGAAAGAAAAGGGCTGGGCCTCAATATTATCAAGCATGGACACCGAGATTTTTTAAATGCTTTAATGCACTATTTCTCACCGACTGCACACTCTCATATCAGCCTGCATATCCGCACATATACAATTCATACATGCTGCAAAGCAGGTAAGATAAATGGAGGCAGACAGGAGCGGACCCCCCACCACACAGCATCTTTATGGACATGCGCATGTGAGGCTTCACTGTCAATATTGGTAATCATGGGTGTGGCAAGTGAGCAATCACAGGGGTGATGTTGTGTATGTTAGAGCAGTGGAGTCTGGGGAGCAGCATGGGACAGAGGAACAAATATGCTTCCTGAAGCCAAATCTATAATACAGTCTTTTTAAACCTCTCCAAATGGTGATATATAGCAATATAATATTTATTATTCATTTGAGTATTTTGATAATTTGCAGCATTCGTCTGCAGGATCACTCTCTGTGAATATTTCTGATAGAAATTACCTCCCTAATGATAATATGAAATTGTTAGAGCTCAGTCCAAGCAGGCAGTCTGTATTCAACCTGAGGTGCACCCTCAGCTTCCCATCAGGGCAAATCAATGTACAGGATACTGAATTCTTTACAGGCCCTGTCAGCAGCACACCCAGAGGTATATAGCTATATACTGTAGTGTAGTATACACTATCTGCTGAGTAGTAGATCTTTACTAACAACACCAAAACAGGAAGCAGTGTGTTAATAAGAGGACGAGCAGGTCCACTGCAGAGAGGAAAAATGTTCACCTGCGACATTTCAGTTATTTATCACAAATCCACCGTGAAATGTTCAAAACAGACAAAGCTAATCTGTTGGTTAAACAAACTTGAACTCCACATTCAAATCACACGGCAGGACAAACCAGTCAGGCAAGATGAGATAAGTAACCTGGCAGTGGGGAGACACACACACACACGCAAGCAGAGCAGAGCCTTACCACTCAAGGTTATACTTAAGACACTTAACTAATGCTTAAGCTCCGTAAATCAACTTAAATCCATCTGCCATAAGGTAAGCTTTTACGGACGACACTGACCAATGTAAATCCCTCTCCACCTGCTGTTTGCTGCTGACACATGACTATGAAGACATTGTTTTGCCCTTATTCCTATGGTTCAATTCAACAGTCCTGTGTGGTGACATTTAGTCAAAGGGTTCAACATGGTTTGTGATGACTAAGTAGTCAAATTTTAAATGGTTTACTGCCACCTTGTGGATATTTGATATTATTGCAGCAAGTCGTCCCCTACTGTTAAAAGGGAAAAGAAACTAATGGTTGGAACAATCTGAACAATTTGTGAAAGGTAGACCTGAATTCAGGAAAAACTTGTGGTAATACACACATAAAAAAGTAAAAACTTGACAACATGTTCTTTTGTTTCACATAGAACTTTATTACTAACTAGTGTTGTCCTTGTATCACGACCACCTGTCCAAAAGGTCACCAGGTGCTCGCTGTCTTACAACCAAGACACGTTTTGTGCCACTAGTCAGCAAGTTAATATTATAAATAGCAACATGTAATACAAATGTTGAGTTGCAAGTCATGTTAAGAACATTTACACAGTACATTTCTGATAGAAAAATGATCCTTTAAAATCCAGTGCCATCTTTCCTTCAACGTTCCTGTGCCGAAAACGGCCGAATATACGAGTCAACAAGGCAGAGCAACCAGAACAATGGCTACAGTATGAATCAGGGCACGACGAGGTCTTTGTTTCAGTGTGAAAGGTAGTTTTCTTGACCATTTTGATGTTATTTCATGACATTTGAAGAGTACAAGACATTAACATGCCTTGCATAAAGCAAAACTGAATGGTAAAAAAATATAAAATGCTAATGCCGATTTGTAGCTCATAAAAACATCAATGAAAAATGGTCACAAAAATGTCAAGTCAGTCCGTCCAATATTCTTGCCATTCACTCTCCTTGTCCAAATAAGTTTTGCATCCCTGATACAGACTCATCCTCGTGTATGTCTAGCATGCTAGCAAGGAGTACAGAAAAGACACATTCGACACAACATGTCAAAACGCAAAGCATTGTTCAGAGCTTTCGTTGACAGGATGAATCGTTGAAACAGGTGATCCATACAGTGCAATATAATAGCTACATTACAGGGTAACGGGCCTGTATCCCTAGCATTAGAGTACGCCTCTTTGAAATATAGTTCAGTCATAAACATTAAATATAAGATAGTAAACGTGTTCTCCAGCTGTCCTGTACCTGTATCTGAACTTTATATTGACCTTTCTCCACACAATGTGATGAATTCTGCAACTTTTGTCACTGCTGAATCTCACTATGGATGAACTCACAACAGCTACACTTTCTTTCTCTCTTCGCCGCATCACGGCACCGTCGGTTTTCTGACAGCACGCTCACCAGTTACAGCTCCCGTCTCCGTGACAGCACTGGTAAATATTTAGATATTAGGCAGCACTTTTTCAGCAATTGGGAATATAGTCAACATCGCAACAACCTGTCAGTTATTCCAACAAAAGTGGCTAAAATAAGAACAAAGACATTACAGTGTGCGATCTACTGCATACAAGCCTTTCAGGTGTTCCAGTTTTGTGGCACACAGTCAGCTACGATACACCTCTGTCTCAGTAAACCGAAGATGTTGAGAGGATTTTATATGAAAACATGTCTTTTAGTCAGTGTTAATCATTTTAGTTCAGTAGAAAGTCTGGGCTTGGGTAACCAAACAGGTGGAAGTCACCCTGGTAACGTGCGTAGAGACGCCTGATGTCTCGCTTGCTGATGCCTGAGAAGTAGTGCTCCACCTTGGTCCTGTTGTAGCGGGTGATGCCTGGAGGAATGGAGGGGTAGGACACCAGCTGGTCGATGCCTGCCGCTTTGAGGATGTGGGGGGCATCTTGCTCCAGTGTCTCGTGGTGGCCAACCACGCTGTAGTGTATTTCACAGGGTGCACACAACTCTGCATAGGTCACCCAGTGAATAATGTGCTCACCAAACTGTCGGTCCATGCGGCGACGGCCCTCTACATCACCCAAGTAACGGACAAAGTCCTCAAAGTGCAGGCCGGAGGCAGCAAGGGTGCTGTCGCGGTGGCTCTTGCGGTACTTACGGATGATGGCTGGAGCGATGTCATGTTTGTACCAAGGCTCAAAGCGTGGGTTCTTCACAAACTTGTCCTTGAACGCAGAAATCAAGCGCTCAAATGGATCTCTCACAATGAAAAACTTAAAGTAGGTGCTTAATCTGTTGAGGAACAGAACACGGATTAAGGAGTAAGAATTGTCTTTACTGGTTGAAGTGTAACAGCATACAGCACGCATTTTTACACTATTGTTGATTAACTCTAAACTAACCTGTAAGTTATTTCCTGTGGCGTCAGTGAAGAGAGGCGGGGCAGGCCGTTTTTCTCATGGTCATGAACGAGGTTTTCTGGAATCTCCTCCACAGTGGAGAATGCTCCTGCCAACAAAACATTAACTTCATTAGCTAACGAAACAAACAGACCCCCGATCATTAAGTGTCATTTACTTCTTAGAACATTACTGTCATGCTTTACCAATTTGTGTACAGCAAACACATAAAATCACAGCCGGTGCTTATCAGCCATTCCTTATCATTATAGTAAATGTGCATTGCTATTACCTTCATCCAGTCTACACTTACCATTGAGCACAATGAGGACCTTCTTCCATTGTGTGTTGCCCACTTTAGGCGTCTGGCAGAACAAGATCTTGTGTTTGTCGCAGACAAAGATGCGGTCCAGGACAAACTTGCTGATGGAGACGTGAGTCAAATTCCTGAGGCTGCTGTTCTTACATACAGTTGAGAGCAGCTCGATTCGCTTGTCAGCAACTGACTGCCAGTCTGCAACTGTAGGTACTGCTGAGGGCTAAGACACACACACACACACACACACACACACACACACACACACACAACACTTATGTGACTCCTTGTTTTTGATATGATGGCAATATCACAGATGAAAAAGTGTATGACTTTCAAATTAAGGCACTAACTGTGTGCAATTCGTAAACAGCTGTATTAGTCACCTGATCTGATGGCTTTGGAACAGGTTTTTCTGGGCTGGATACAGGGATGGTTTTAACCACCTTGGCACCTGGCACTGTCCAACTCTGACCACCAA